TTTACTGATGTTTTAGGAGGGATGAATAAATTTTACGTAATTGTACACCTTATTTTTTACGTAATTTATTTTTGTAATACTAAGATTGTTATATATTATATGCAAGGGTTTCATAGTACACCAATTTTACGGATTATTTTTTAATTTTACCAAAATAAATTTTATGTAAGTACAGGTAAAGGCTTAGCACATACCTCTCTGGAGTCACTTTAAAAATATGAATCAGTCTCTTTTGAAAAAAATCTAAGAAAAGAAACGAAAAGAAATAGAAATGTTAAAAAATACTAGAAGAGAACAATATATTTAATTTTTGCCTACAGGAGCTTTAAATTTTTATTACAATAAAAATAGAAATACGTTATATAAAAGCTTTTTCGTCTAGATGGTGACACCAACAAAATATATATCGTTTCCTACTATTTAGTGATAAACAGTACGTAAGTGATTTGAATTCATGTTGTTATTTTTTACATACAGTAATTTCGCTCAATTATATTAAATTAATTTTATCATTTATTTATTAAAAAAATATATATCCGAAATTGGAAGGTATGCACTGAGATGTGAATTATAAATATGTTTTTGTTTAATGAATACCTCTTCGAGTCAACAATCCGTTAAAGTAATGTAAATATTTTTTCTTGCTTTCGCGCATGGTTATGATCTGTCGCACCCTTTGAGGCGCGTTGCAAAAGAAAATTTTCTAAAAAGTTAGCCAATGTCTATAAATCAGAAAAAAACGATTGTGACAAGCTGATTGTGCATTGTAGCACAATAAAAGATGGAAACGAATCACTGCTTTAAAATTTGGAGAAATTTGTAAAATATCTCCTAAAATCTTTTATTTATTTCTAAAGCCACCCGATATGGCATGGATCATAAATTCAGAGCAAAATAAGATTTGGAAATTTATTTGTAAAAGTTTTTAAATGTGAACATTTTATTGAATTCGAATTTGATTATGTTGCTGCCAGTCTGGATGGAATTAAAAAAAAACAAAACTCTATGATAGAGTTAAAATGTCCATATGGAGCTGAAGTGCTGACTGTAGAAGAAGAAATATGCAGTAGAGAAATAACTTTTTGGAAAAAGGACAATACCATTAAGGAGAACCACTATTGATATTTTCAAATTCAGGGCTAGCTGCACATAACACAAATGGATTTTTGCATTTTGTGCTTTTGGACTTCTGGAGGTATAAAAGTGGAAAAATTATCTCATAATGACAGCTTTTAGGAACAAAAAAGTGTATATTTTTCATAAGAGGCGAAGCTGAGGGCAAATATTATCAAGATTATAAATATAACTTTTAAGAAAATTTCGGATTATAATTTTCCCACTTCTGTGGAAGAAAAGATACAAAATAAAATTAAAAATTTTTACATGCAATATGCCTTGCCAGAACTTGTTGACAGCAAAGCTAATAAAGACATGGAAGTACGAGGCAGAATACTAAATAATTCGTGAGAAATTTAGTTTAATATTTATTAACATAACGTAAGGAATCTTAAATTATTTTGAATATTTTTATTAATTTAAGAAATACATTTTATTTATTTCTAAAACATGGTAGTATGCAATCCATTTAAGATATGATTAATGTCTTATTATTATAGTACACTATTTTAAATTTAGGATTTTACCAGTAGCAGTGGTAATTGATGATATATAATTATTATTATACCAATTGTTTTAAAAGGCTACACCAACTAGTGGACCACGCTTTTAAGTCCCCAAATAATAGTTTCAAGATTTTGATTCGGATTAGAAGTTTTGTGTCAAAGCCAAGTCATGTATTGATATTGTTATACGTAGATGAGTAACTATCATCAATTGAAATTGAAAATTCACACTTGAATCTTTGTAACGACGTTATTTATAACTTTATTAACTTTATAACGGTCAAAAATGTTAGTTGACTTATTTAATTTTAAATATAAATTGATTTTCATTTTAACTTAGAAATTTTCGAAAAGTTCAGTATATTGTTTAGTTGTTGAAACTTTACTGCGCTTAAGTAGGGTTCAGATTATAATATGAATTGATTTATGGAGCTTAACTGAAAAACAGGAACTAATGCTTTCAATCCAAAAAAAGTATTATGGCCAATAAAAAGAATTTCGAACTGTGATATCTGCAAGTCCTTATTTAAAACCTTTAAATTTAATATTATTATGCAAGAGTTATCTTTACAAATTGATACAAATATCGAACATAAGTTTGTTGACATAAACATTATGTTCATAATACGAATAAATATACCTCTATTAAAGAATACTCATAATTTATTTAATATATTCATTTAAACATGTTTTTGTTTTTTGTCTGGATGATATTGAATACTAACTTTTTCTATATAACTTCTTATCGAGACATTGTGAAATAAAAAACAGACAATTAATTAAAAGCGTACTCCAATTTTTCAGGTATAGAAGTTTCAATGCTATACTGTTTCCCAAATTATGAAAATACTAAAGAATATAAAAAAAAATAAATAAAAAGCCAATCAAAGAATATGTTAATATTCACAGAAGAATATCGTATTTCTTTTTTGGAAACAAAGAGTAGCCGAAATTGTGAAAATAACAACATATTTTTATTTCACAAAAATATTAAGTCAGTTTTTCTTTTTTATGTAAATCATATCATTTTCAAGGCAATAAAACAGAAGAAAAGTCACCGAATACCGATTTCAAAAAGGTCTATTAGTTTTTATAGGAAATGGAAAGAGAAAGAACGCTTTTTAATCGAGTTAAAATTCTTTACTAATTTCGCTGTTTCTCTTCGACGATGTCCGGTCTCCGTATTGTTTAAAATCGATAACTATAAACGGATTAAGGTATTTTGTACCGTGTTAAAAAATTTAAGAAAAATTTTGAAGAATTTTTTTTTAAATAGTAAACTTTGACAAACATATACAATATTCAAAAAGATAAATCACATTTAAGTGATTATGCAAAAATTTTATTTATTTTTCTAAAATAATATGGATTGTCCTCTAAAATATATACAGTGGCTCCCAAAAGTCTGCTTTTTATGTGCTAGTTTTTTCAGAAAATGTTATTTCTGATAAAACTTGGTGTTTAATTTAACCTAAAACTTTATTTATTTAAAAAATTCTGTATCATAAATACAAATTTGGCTGCACAGTGAACTAGGTACTCTTCTAGGAACCGAACCCACATTTTTACATATAAGATTAATTTAAGAAGATGTATATAACTCTACATAGTAGTTTTTTAGTTAATACAATTAATATAGATTATTATATCCTTTTTAATCTACTTCAAAAAAGAGGAGGTTCTCAATTCGTCTGTATATATATTTTTATGTATGTTCAGCGATCATTCTTTAACACAATGTCCGATTTAAATGATTCTTTTTTTGCTGAAAAGAGGGTACTTCCGGGATGGTCCCATATAAATTTGGTCATAAACTAATAATTGGGTCCATGAGAAAATCCTCAAACTTTTTATTTTTTATGTATGTTTAGCGATAATTCTTTACCACCTTGTCCGATTTCTATAATTCTTTTCGTTAGTAAGGGGGTACCTCAGGGGTGGTCCTATATAAATTTGGTTAAGATGTGGTGATGGCATCTGTACGATTTTTAAGTCGGTTTTTTAAAATTACTTTTTAACCTTGTTACGTACTTAAATTAAAAGTTTAATAATTTGGTGCCGTACCGGGTTTGAACTGAATATTTTTGAACAAAAATATGGTACGCCACTGCTTTTTCTAAAAACCAAAATTTATCTATAAAATCCTTATTTATTTTGGAGCAAATTTGGTTTATAGACGTACTTTCGTACGACGCACCCTTTTCGCGTAAGAAAATAAAAACCAGTTTATTGAAACTGCTTTTGATATTTTGTTGAAATTTGGTAGGAACCCACCATGAGTGGAAACACTTTTGTGTGCAAAATTTCATAAAAATATCTAGAGTAATAAGAAACTTATGATAAAATAGTTATTTTTTTCTTAAAACAACACTCTAGGATTCACACCCTTAAATATCGGCACTCAATTAATAAATACCCTATATTAATTGATATTACCTTATTCGAACCAATCGTCTATTTTTTCGTTATTTGTATTTATATTTCACAACTCTATACTCCTAAATGTAATTTAATCTAAACCTATTCACTAAATTAAAATGTAAAAATTATGTAAAACCCTCTAAAAAATCGAACTGCGTTATAACAATATCTTGTAATGCACCGAAAAAAACAAATACGATTCTGGTTCCCCTAATTTAGGTAACTCTGACTTACTCAAGAACTGATAAACGTCCGTCGGCAGCGGTGGTAGGATTTTTTTTCGGTTCCTTTGTCTCAGCTTCGCGCGTTAAGGTTTGGAATACTTATCCCTCGTATCTACATGCAATTGTTAAAATTATGAATGAATGCGGATTTTGTTTAGTCTGGGAAGTAATTTTGTAGTATTTAGGCTCCACCCTTAAGTTGTAATTTTTATACCCACTAAACTACCGTTGCCCCGCAGGTCTTTCAGTTTGTAATGTAAATTTTCCTCTTAATAGGTTACCCATGCATTATCTCAGTTTAAACAATATTAGGTTAAAAAATTATGTAAAACGAGATTTAATGAATGGTACACTCTTCGTTGTTAAATAATTAAAAATTTTTAGGTATTGGGTGTTGGCTGTTTCTGGTATATAATAGAATATTCATTTTACGGTTACTTAATATTATTATAATAGGTTACCCTTCTTACGGTTTATTAATATTATTTACTTTTTGGTATTTTTACTTTTTTTGAAATATTCTAGTTAGTTTTAGTTTTACCGGTTGAGTAGAAGAACAGGTTCTAGTATTGCTCCGGCATAACAGAAACTGAACTCTGCCTTTTGGCTATAATTTTATTCTGTCCAAAATTATAAAAAAATGTATAATTTGAGCCAATAAAAACATTATTATTATTATATAATGCACAATAAAATAAAAGTAAAAACCACGCAAATTTAATAAAAAAACAACAACGCTCAACATTTTTATTACTGTTTTTTAATATAAAATAATAAATTCTTATATAAACTGTACAATTTTCTTTTCTTAAAACTAAACATTAAAACACTCGTGTACCAGCACTTAGTAATAGTTCAACGTAACAACCACTACCAACATGGCGATAGAATATCGTCCGTAGAGTAAAATATTAGAACTCGAAGTAGACGCACGTTCGACTGATGGTTCAACCGTATTTTCTGATGGTACAGCCATATTCGGGTTTCGTTTCTGTTCAACGGACTCATTTATAGGGTGTTCAACGAATTTTTGTTCTACTTGAAGAGCGGCGTTGTGTTCGACTGGTTCAATGGATTTGTTTTTGTGAATTGTCGTTGAAAGTATGCTTTCGTTTGGGATATCGACGTATAAAGAATCACCTGTAACGAAAACATTGTAAAAATATTTGGTAATCTGTAAAAATAAACCAAAGAACATATCGCCCCCTTAGTGCAACAACTAGATAACTCGAAATATATGCATTTTGAGTTATCCAGTTTAATCTGTCCTATTTTTCATGCTCTTTTTAATGCAACCTATTTTTCAAGAGTGACTAAAAACAGATAACTCCCAATATATACATTTTATAACTAGAGATCTTGAGATATCTAGTTTTAGCACTGGTATTATTGAGTTATCTGCCGGCACCTTCTTGGTCGCTATGAGATATCTAGTTGTGTGTTTAAAACAACAGGTTTGTTTCTGTGCTGCTAAATTGTTTTTATGGTGTCTTTTTAAAAGCCATAACTTGGTTAGGGGGCAGAAAATGTGCTGGTTACCTTATGTCTTTGTTTAAAATGAATACTCCGGCCCTCCCTAGCGAGTATAAAGCATTTTTGAAAGTCTTCCATTCATAGGAGACCAACGTAAACGGCCTTAAAACATGGAAGATTTCCAAACCGACATCATTGACATTGACACTTAAGTTGTATCAAGGGTGGAATCTTTTGGGTTTTATTTAAACTAATCTTGTTAATTTTTTATTCAAAATAAAGTTGTATTTATTAGGTGATTTGCGTTTAATTGTTAGTGGTTATAAATAGATAGCTTTACTCTTTTTTCAGCAAAAACTAGATATCTCAAGTTTTTGATTAAATTCTGCAAGGATATAAAACCTAATTGTTTCCAAAATTAACAAATCCTAATTTGATATGCAACGTATCTGTATAGATATTAAATATTTTTGATTATTTAACAGGTGTATTTTTTTTTCGTTTTGAATCTTTAAAGTAGATTTTCTCAAAACTATAAATTTAAAGTTATCTAGTTGTTGCACTAAGGAGACGATATAGGTTAGGAAAAAGGTATACGAGCCATATAATGTAGGTATGCCCATTTTTATTAAATTGCAGGCCTATATATTCGTAATAGGTAATCCGTAAATATATTTACAATAAATATACTCGTCAAAATAAGTATGATTTGGAGTGAGGGTAGCCATATGTGAGTAGTAGGTATTAAGTGTAAGGGTTAAAGAAAAGGTCCTTTATTTCTCACAAGTCAATTTAATTGGCGACCGGTTTCGAAGCTGTCACTTCATCATCAGGCACACCTCGACTATTTCCATAAAGGAAGCGCTACATAAAGTTTAACAAAACGAGTTAAAAAAGTCGTATGTAATACAATAGTATTAGTTAAAAATATTGTAGGTTAGGTTAAACCGCGAGATGTCTGTTTGAATAAATTAATTAAAACACATGTAAGACTATTATTAACTAAACAACACAAAATAGTTTTTACAAGCACAAACAGTTTAATTTTTTTTTAAGGATATAACGTCAATTAATAAAAGTAAAAAGTAAAAATTATCAGACTTAAGACATCTATCTAGATTTTTTAACGAATCAATGTAGTAAACGTTAAACGCCATTACATGTTAGTACTTTAAAGTTAACTGAACTTTGATAGAGTGTGTCAACTCCACGACACCCTTTCTGTTAAACTGCGACTGCAGGAGTGATTCTTGTGTGAGTAGGCGTGGCTTACTAGATAGTCTAGAATATTCTAATTAATTATTTCTCAGCTTCAATGAGAGGGAGTGAGAACACATATTTTAGGATACGGGATATAGCGCGTTCGAGGAATGTGGCTTGATTCTGTTTAAACCGGTACATACGTGACCTTTGGCACGGGTCGAGAGGGCAATATATTTAACTCGTATTATATTTAGAACTGTGTGAGGCTCTACGATATCGCTTTTTGCAAGATGGGTGCACTTCTTGAATGCATAGCTAGAGCGAGAATAGTTATTTGAAGGATAAATAATGTGCATTTTTTAAATGTGCGATTTTAACAAACATTACTAGAACAGAGGCAGTCTTCACAAAATTATGTTTGAATTTAAGATTGTAATCTGAAATTTAAACAGCAACCATTCGTAATTTTATTGTTCTATTGACTTCTTATGAGCGCGAATAATAATAGTACTAATTTTCTTCAAATCTATATTCTTAATAAACAGAGATTTTTTAAAAAACTATAAAGACTTATATTGATTGTTTTTACGAAAATGGAAATACAAATTCCATTCCTTTGTTATGGTTGATTGCACGTCGAAAGGTTTGCAACAAATTTTAATGTTCGCTACCCACACCGGGGTCTATCAGACCCCATAAAATTTATAAATGCATGCCAATATTTACCTATTTCTGATACAATCTGGCAACGTCGTGTAAATTTGGCACATTGCCTCCACTATCGTATACATTGCGAGACTTTTAACGACTTTAGTATTTCAGTGGTGCCGGGGTTCTCTAGACCCCAGTTTGTGTTTCACATTAGTTTTTTTATATAAAAAATACTTCCTTGGTTTATTCGGTCTTTTTTTTATTTTCAATTGTTTAGCACACTACATATGTTTCAGAAAACTTTTCCATCTTCGGGTGCAGTCATAAATTATTAAAACATGGGGACGATTACTAACAAATTAAAACATTTTTAAAATAATTTTAAAATAATATTAAAATACACTTTCACACGATGAAATAGAAAAATGGAGTTCTACAGGGTGTTTCAGATTTAAACGGACACAGCTTAATGGAAGGTAGAGTACAAAACACCCCTATACTTAGCTTTTAATCTTACTTTCTCTATACAGGGTGTTTCAGATTTAAACGGACACAGCATAATGGAAGATAGAGTACACTTAGGTGAGTTCAAAACACCCCTATACTTAGCCTTTAATCTTACTCGTTTTATGATTTTTTTCCAAAACTAAAATCGTACATTTTGTTTGAACGGCTAGAGTTATATTGATAAAATTTTGTACAAAAGTTACACTCTCTTAGGTCAATCAAAACCATAATTTAATTTTAAAAAATTCCAGAACCGGACTCTCTTTTTTTTATATTGCTCTTCTTGGCTAGAATATCACCCTGTATATCGGATTTTAATAAATCCTAATGCACATTTAAATAGTACGCGGATCAATAAATAAAATAATGTAATAATATTTAATGGCACCATCTTGATTTTCTTACAGTCAATTTTTATAATGGCGCCTACAATATTATAAATCAGTTTTTACAAAATTGAAATCAAATATATTACTCTGTATTTTTAAAACTCTACACAAATTAGATACGATCTTCATTTATTTTTAACTACTGCATTTTCCAATAAGAAATTGAACATCTACACAGGACCGGGCTCATTTTATTTGACATGACAGTTGTAGATAAAATATTATTACATTATTTTATTTGTTAATCCACGTACTATTTAAATGTGCAGTAATATTTATTAAAATCCGATATACAGGGTGATATTCTAGCTAAGAAAAGCAATATAATAAAAAAGAGTCCAGTCCTGGAATTTTTAAAATTAAATTATGGTTTTGATTGACCTAAGAGAGTGTAACTTTTGTACAAAATTTTATTAAAATAACTCTAGTCGTTTAAACAAAATGTACGATTTTAGTTTTGGAAAAAAATCATAAAACGAGTAAGATTAAAGGCTAAGTATAGGGGTGTACTCTATCTCCCATTATGCTGTGTCCGTTTAAATCTGAAACACCCTGTATAGAGAAAGGCGTCGACCTTTGACAACTAAAGATCTTCATGCAGAAATAAACCAGTTAATGTTTGAGATGGATAATGAGAAAAAACCATCTGTTTTTGACAAGCCAGACTCAGATTATGACGAAGACTACGAAGAAGAACAAGAATGTTCCGACACAGAGCAAAGCGGGGAATCAGAGACTGTACAACCAGGTCCGCCTAATGCAAAAAAGTGAAAACCACATTGACTAAAGGAAATAACGGATATAGATGGAGCAACGGAATTCCAGAAAAGCGAGGGCGACGCCAGAGAAAAAATCTTGTTAGTCACTTACCTGATCCAAAAGGAGCTGCAAAAACTGTAAAAAGTCCCCTTGAAGCATGGTCTCTACTATTTTCTGAAGATATAATAAACACAATTGTTGCCCGCACCAATAAATAAATTAGAAGACGGTGGGAGTCAATTAACGTTCGGCAGTCTTACCATAGTACAACAGATAGCGTAGAAATAAAATCTTTGGGTTTTTGTATCTTTGTGGCGTCCAGCGTTCAGCATAATATTTGAGTTGGTACGAGCTGTGGTCACATAAGTTTGGAACTTCGCTATTTAAAGTTACTATGGAGTTAAACAGGTTTGATTTACTGACATCATTTTTGCGTTTTGATGAAAAAGATACTAGAGCACAATCGAGACAAAATGACAAATTTGCACCTATCAGAGAAATTTGGGAAACATTCGTGTCCAACTATATACCACTTATTATATACACCACATGAATATTGTATAATTGATGAGCAGCTTATGTGCTATAGAGGCAGGTGTCCGTTTAAAATATATTTGGCTTCCAAACCTAACAAGTATAAAGTTTGTAATGATGAATGACGCGCGAACCTGGTTTATGATTACCGCTATTCCTTATGTTGGCTAAGTTACTACGGAGAATAATATGTATTACTACGTCAAAAAACTATCACAGCCTATCGCGGTACTGGCAGGAACATTACTGTCGATAATTGATTTTCGTCAGTGGAGTTGTTTGAAAATATGTTAACCGAACATGGACTAACTATGATAGGTACTCTTCGAAAAAGTAAGCGGGAAATTCCTCTTAGTTTTCTAGCCGGAAAAAGAGAAGGTGAATCAAAATTTGTTTTTGTTCACAATAAGACATCTATAATAGTCTTAGATTACAATACTACCAAAGGCTTTCTTTATACATTTGACAAATTCTGCCACACTTTCACCACTGCACAATCTACCAGAAGGTGGCCTATGAGGGTATTTTGTGGCATGCTTGATAACGCTGGAATAAATTCAATGGTTTTATACAACTTTTCCGCCACCAACAATACAAAACACATTGGTCTTTAAACTAATAGAG